ACTCACAGTGGTTTCATTTCATCAAATAAATTACTTTTGGATGGTGTAATACAGGATTTGATGAAAAGAGTCCTAAGTTCTAATTTTGATAGAAAAACACAGAAGGCGGACGCGGCCTCGGGGGAGCCCTCCCAGGCCCGGCTGCAGCCCACAAAAAAAAAAGAAAGAGAAGAAAAACACAGAAACAACACTTTATTTCATTTTTGGCATAGTGTCTCCCTCTGTTACCCAGACTGGAGTGCAGTGGCATAATCAGAACTCACTGCAACTTCGACCTCCCAGGTTCAAGTGATCTTCCCACTTTAGCTTCCTGAGTAGCTGGGAATATAGGCGCTGTCACCACACCTGGCTAATTTTATATATATATATTTTTTTTTTTTGGTGGAGATGAAGTCTACCTGTGTTGCCCAGGCTGATCTGGAGCTCCAGGACTCAAACGATCTTCCTGCTTGAGTCTCCCAAAATGCTGGAATTGCAGGTGTGAGCCACCAAGCCCAGCCTTGAATTCTTAAAATTATCCCTAGCACATGTGAATAGAGTTTGTGAACTGTACAAGAACCTTAAAGTCATAATCAGCATTCACCTTAGAATCTTGTAGCACAGTTAGGCTTTTGCAGGAATCTTAGCCAGCTAGTAATTACTTCCTAAACAATGACTCTTTTCAGGGCCCTGTGCTATATACAAAGATACAGATTCCTTAGTAGTTGTCAATATCCGATTAATTATGATCATTCGAATAGAATGTGCCTGGGGGTGAGGGGTCATCAGTTCCAGTATCTAATTCAGACAATACTGACCCCCAGGCCACCTGGCACCAAGGCCATTTGCACTCTAAACTATTGTTGCCAATTCTCCCGGAATTGCTGGCATTACAGGCAAGAGCCACAGCACCTGGTCAGATTATTTTTATAATCAGAGGAAATGTTACTTAAGTTTGTGTCAGTCTTTTCAACTCTTCTTGTAGAAATGTTACTAAATGGATAATCAAAAAATGATTGTGACAGAAAAGCCTTTGGAGCTACATGAGCACATGGAGGCCACTCAGTGAGAGAGAAACTTAGTTTCTTGGAGAATGGACTGCAGTGACACAGAAGAAACCTGGGAATGACTGAACTTCCTCTGCAGGATAAACCACAGGGGAGTACACGGCACCCCTGTGAATTGCGTGTAAAACCAGCAACACTTTAGAAACACAGTCCCTGGTAAAGAAGAGAGGAAAGCTATACTACAAGTAAAATTAAATATCAATTCCAAATGTAAATTTTCTTATCGTTTGGCAATAAAAAAATACTATTTAAATAATAGCAGGAATGAGCTGAGCAGGGTGGCTCATGCCTGTAGCCCCAGGACTTTGGGAGGCCCAGATAGGCAGATCACTTGAGATTAGGCAGTTGAAGCCAGCCTGGCTAACCTGGTAAAACCCGGTGTCTACTAAAAGAACTACAAAAATTACCCAAGTGCGCCTGTAATTCCAGTTACTCAGGAGGCTGAGGCCTGAGAATCACTTGAACCCAGAAAGCAGAGTTCGCAGTAAGCTGTGATTGTGCCACTGTACTCCAGCCTGGGACACAGAATGACACCCTGTCTCCAATAAATAATACCAAGAGTGAAGAGCTTAGAAAAACAGATATACATGAGACTGTGTGAGGTGACTCATGCCTATAATCCCAGCATTTGGGAGGCCGATACTTGTGGTTAACCTGAGGTCAGGAATTTGAGACCAGCCTGGCCAACATGGTGAAACCTTGTCTCTACTAAAAATACAAAAATTACCTGGTAGGCAGATACCATGATCACGAAGGTGGTTTTCCCAGGGCAAGGTTCATCCATTGCGCTCTGGATGTGCTGACCACTGCGATTTCCCCAAATTTGGGAAACTCAACTGCATGATTTGTGGTAGTGGGGGACTGTGTTTGCACTTTTCCTTGATAATAAGTAAAAATAAAAATAAATAAATTAACCAGGTGTGGTGGTACACACCTGTAGTTCCAACTACTTGGGATGCTGAGTGAGGAGCATTGCTTGAACCCGGAGTCAGAAGTTGCAGTGAGCTGTGATCATGCCACTGCACTCCAGCCTCGACTGGATATGGGTCAAGACTCCATATCCAAAAAAAAGAGAAAAAAGAAAAATAAAGGGCTGGAAATGTTTCTTTCTTTAAAAATAAAGATGGGGGCCGGGCGCGGTGGCTCAAGCCTGTAATCCCAGCACTTTGGGAGGCCGAGGCGGGTGGATCACCAGGTCGAGAGATCAAGACCATCCTGGTCAACATGGTGAAACCCCGTCCCTACTAAAAATACAAAAAACTAGCTGGGCGTGGTGGCGCGTGCCTGTAATCCCAGCTACTCAGGAGGCTGAGGCAGGAGAGTTGCCTGAACCCAGGAGGTGGAGGTTGCGGTGAGCCGAGATTGCACCATTGCACTCCAGCCTGGGTAACAAGAGCGAAACTCCGTCTCAAAAATAAATAAATAAATAAATTAAATTAAATAAAGATGGGGGGCCGGGCACAGTGGCTCACACCTGTAATCTCAGCACTTTGGGAGGCCGAGGCGGATGGATCACGAGGTCAAGAGATCGAGATCATCCTGGTCAACATGGTGAAACCCCGTCGCTACTAAAAATACAAAAAATTAGCTGGTCATGGTGGTGCGTGCCTGTAATCCCAGCTACTCAGGAGGCTGAGGCAGGAGAATTGCCTGAACCCAGGAGGCGGAGGTTTCGGTGAGCCAAGATTGCGCCATTGCACTCCAGCTCGGGTAACAAGAGCGAAACTCCGTCTCAAAAAAATAAAATAAAATAAAATAAAATAAGCAAATAAAGATGGGAGTCTTGCTTTGTCAACCAGGCTGGTGTCCAACTCCACATCTCAAGTGATCCTCCTGTCAGCCTCCCAAAGTGTTGGCATTACAGGTATGAGCCACCACACCCGGCCTAGCCTGGAAACATTTGCATCTGATCTAGGAGGTTGTATTAAGTGTCTCTAAAGTTCTTTTATATTCTGAGCAGGGTGCAGTGGCTCACGCCAGTAATCCCACCGCTTTGGGAAGCTAAGGGAGGCAGATCACCTAAGGTCAGAAGTTTGAGACCAGCCTGGCCAACATGGTGAAACCCCCATCTCTACTACAAATACAAATCCCAGCTACTCAGGAGGCTGAGGCAGGAGAATCCCTTGAACCCAGGAGGCAGAGGTTGTACAGTGAGCTGAGATCTCTCACCATTGCACTCCAGCCTGGGTTACAAGAGCAAAACTCTGTTTTAATAAAAAGCTCTTTTATGTTCTGTCTTTATTCATCCATTCTATAGAAATCAAAATTGGATATTACAGGGATGTTTTAGACAAGAAACTGGAATAAGTGGACCCACTCTCCAAGAATGGACTTTATGCCTATAACCAAAAGATCACAAAGTGAGACAGGGCGAAGTGGCTGACACCTGTAGTCCCATCTAGTAGGGAGGCTAAGATGAGAGGCTTATTTCAGCCCAGGAGGTTGATGATGCCTTCACCTGAGACTGCACCACTGCACTTCAAGTACGCCAGCCTAAATGATACAGTCAGACTCTATCTCACACACACACAAAAATAGCAAAGTGAGTATGTTGTTGTTTAGGGTTGGGTGGGGTGGCTCACTCATGTAATCCCTACATTTTGGGAGGCCGAGGTGGGTGGATCATGAGGTCAGGTGTTGGTGACCAGCCTGGCCAATATGGTGAAACCCCGTCTCTACTAAAAATACAAGTTAGTCAGGCATGGTGGCAGGCTCCTCTAGTCCCAGCTACTCGGGAGACTGAGGGAGGAGAATCACTTGAACCTGTGACGTGGAGGTTGCACTGAGCTGAGATTGCAAGACTGCACTCCAGACTAGGTGACCGAGTGAGACTCCATCTCAAAATATATATATTTATTTATATAAATATATATATATGTATTTAAGTTTAAAATAAAGTGTTTAGATATATATCATATTTTATTATTTTCCACATTAACGCACTTCTTCAATAACTAAACATCTACGATTCCCTAACATATAAAAAAAATTCCCTAACATATAAAATAAATCTTCTAAAAACATGGTACAGGGCCAGGCGCGGTGGCTCACGCCTGTAATCCCAGCACTTTGGGAGGCCGAGGCGGGTGGATCACAAGGTCAGGAGTTCAAGACCAGCCTGGCCAAAATGTTGAAACCCCATCTCTACTAAAAATACAAAAATTAGCTGCGCGCGGTGGCATGCGCCTGTAATCCCAGCTACTCAGGAGGCTGAGGCAGGAGAATCACTTGAACCTGGGAGGCAGAGGTTGCAGTGAGCAGAGATCGTGCCATTGCACTCCAGCCTGGGTGACAGAGTGAGACTCTGTCTCCAAAAACATGGTGTAAGGCCAGGCACAGTGGCTTACACCAGTAATCCCAGCACTTTGGGAGGCCACAGTGGAAGACTTACATGAGCCCAAGAATTTGAGACCATCCTAGGTGACATAGGGAAATCCTGTCTCTACAAAACAGTTTTAAGTAAATTAGCTGATCATGACAGCACGCACCTGTGGTCCCAGCTACTTAGGTGGCAGAAGTGGGAGGATCATTTGAGCCCTGGAGTTCTAGGCTGCAGTTAGCTATGATTATGCCACTGCACTCCAGCCTGGGTGACAGAGTGAGAACCTGTCTCAGAAAAATAATAATAATAACAAAACATGGTAGAAAAAAATGACTGATATGCTAAAATACTGACAACACATTTAGGTGAAAAGGGAGATTAGAACAAAATGTTCAGTACATTCACATCTTAGTAAAGTATGCCTTGTTACATATGACTAAATAGAAATCCAACAGGAGTCTGGTACAAAATCCTAACAATTCCTCCCAGGCATGAACTAACAGATAACTTTATTTACTTCACTTCCTTCCGCTTTCCTTGGACTTCCCATATCTTCTTTTTTTTTTTTTTTTTTGCTACCATGCAACAAAACTTTTATTAACATTTTGAACAGGTTCAGCTGTTCACTGAAACTTGTTAATTTCTAAACTTAAGTTGGGGCAAATGGCTATAATGCAGAGTATTGCCATCACTGGGCACTTCGAATGCAAGACTGAAGAATTAACAGCCACCCCTCAGACGCAGGACCAGGTGCAGGGTCGACTCTTTCTGGATGTTGTAATCAGAAAGAGTGCAGGCCATCTTCCAGCTGCTTGCCTGCAAAGATGAGCCTCTGCTGGTCGAGGGGGATGCCTTCTTTATCTTGGATCTTGGCCTTCACATTTTCAATGGTGTCACTGGGCTCCACTTCCAGGGTGATGGTCTTGCCAGTCAGGGTCTTCACGAAGATCTGCATACCGCCTCTCAGACGCAGGACCAGGTGCAGGGTCGACTCTTTCTGGATGTTGTAGTCAGAAAGAGTGCGGCCATCTTCCAGCTGCTTGCCTGCAAAGACGAGCCTCTGCTGGTCGGGGGGGATGCCTTCCTTATCCTGGATCTTGGCCTTCACATTTTCGATGGTGTCACTGGGCTCTACCTCCAGGGTGATGGTCTTGCCGGTCAGGGTCTCTGCTCACTGCAACCTCCTGGTTCAAGGGATTTCCCTGCCTCAGCCTCCTGAGTAGATGGGACTACGGGCGGGTGCCACCATGCCCAGCTAATTTTTATTTTGTATTTTAGTAGATACAGGTTTCACCATGTTGGCCAGGATGGTCTCGCTCTTCTGACGTCATGATCTGCCCACCTCTGACTCCCAAAGTGCTGGCATTGCACGGAAGAGCCACAGCACCTGGCCAGATTACTTTTATAATCAGAGGAAATGTTACTTAAGTTTGTGTCAGTCTTTTCAACTCTTCTTGTGGAAATGTTACTAAACAGATAATCAAAAAATGATTGTGACAGAAAAGGCCTTTGGTGCTACATGAGCACATGGAGGCCACTCAGTGAGAGACAAACTGTTTCTCTGTGGCTCACACCTGTAATCCTAGCACTTTGGGAGGCCGAGGTGGGTGGATCACCTGAGGTCAGGAGTTCAAGACCAGCCTGGCCATCATGGTGAAACCACACCTTTAAAAAAAAAAAAAAGAAAAGAAAAAAGAAACTGTTTCTGTGGAGAATGGACTGCAGTGACACGGAAGAAACCTGGGAATGACTGAACTTCCTCTGCAGGATAAACCACAGGGGAGTGCACAGCACCCCTGCCACCTCAGTGTGGGGGACACCAGGAGACACGCCAGGGAGGAGGGGGGCAGGGCAGAGCTGGGGGAAAGCTCTGGAAAGGTCAGAGCCTGGGTTGATCCTGGTCAGCTTTCTGACTTCTTTCTGCTCATCCTCTATCACAGCTGCTCATAATGTTTCCTTTTCTCAGAGCCTAGGGCTTAAGTGAGGAGTTGTTATTGAACCAGAGACCAGGGTGCAAAGGACAAGCACCTGCGTTGAAAGGCGCTGTATCCTAGAACCACAGGGGACGCACAGTGGTCTCATTATATCACATAAATTCTTTTTGGATGGTATAAATACAGGATTTGATGAAAAGAGTCCTGAGTTCATATAACAGAAATTAATAGCAAAACATAGATACAACGATTTATTTAGTTTTTGAGATAAAGTCATCCTCTGTTGCCCAGACTGGAGTGCAGTAGCACAATCACAGCTCACTGCAACCTTGATCTTCCAGGTTCAAGTGATCCTCCCACCTTAGCTTCCTGAGTACCTGGAACTATAGGCGTTGTCACCACACCTGGCCGATTTGGGTGTGTCTGTGTGGAGATGGGGGGGTCTCCTTATGTTGCCTAGGCTGGTCTCGAGCTCCTGGACTCAAGCGATCTTACTGCTTGGGTCTCCCAAAGTGCTAGAATTGCAGGTGTGAGCCACCCTGTCCAGCCTTGAATTCTTTTTTTTTTTTTAATAGAGATGGGGTTTCACCATGTTGACCAGGCTGGTCTCGAACTCCTGACCTCAGGTGATCGCCCACCTCAGCCTCCCAACATGCTGGAATTACAGGAATGAGCCACCAAGCCCAGCCTAGCCCGGAATTCTTAAAGTATCTGTAGCACATGTGAATAGAGTTTCTGAACTGTACAAGAACTTTAAAGTCATCATTGGCATTCACCTGAGAATCTTATAGCAGAATTAGGTTTTTGCAGGAATCTCAGCCAGACAGTAAATATTCACTCAGTGCTGACTCTTTTCCAGGCTATATGCAAAGATGCAAACTCTGTAGGAGTTGCCACTATCCCAGTAACTACAGTCATTTGAATAGAAGGTGCCTGGGGGAGAGGGGCCATCTACTCCAATATCTAATTCAGACAGTGCCTACTCCCAGCCCATCTGGCACCAACCCCATAGGCACTCCAAGCCATGGTTGCCAATCCTCTCTGCAGAACACTTGAGAAACCTAGTCCCTGATAAACAGCAGGAGAAAGCTATACTGCAAACCCAGCTAAATATCAATTGCAAATGTAAGTTTTCTAATTGTCTGACAATGAAAAAAACACAAAGTAAATAATAGCAGGAATGTGCCAGGGGTCCTGGCTTATGCCTGTAACCCCGGCAATTTGGGAGGCTGAGGTGGGTGGACCACTTGAGGTCAGGAGGTCCAGATCAGCCTGGCTAACATGGAGAAACCCAGTCTCTACAAAAAAATACAAAAATTAGCTGAGCATGGTGGCATGTGCCTGTAATCCCAGTTACTATGGAGGCTGAGGCCAGTAATCACTTGAACCCAGGAAGCGGAGGTTGCAGTGAGCTGAGATTGTGCCGCTGCACTCCAGCCTGGGTAACAGAGTGAGACCCTGTCTCCAAAAAATGTCAATAATAAATAATACCAGGAGTTAAGAGCTTTTAAAACCATATATGTGAGGCTAGGTGTGTTGGCTTATGCCTGTAATACCAGCAATTTGGGAGGCCAAGGTGGGTGGATCACCTGAGGTCAGGAGTTTGAGACCAGCCTGGCCTACATGGCGAAACCCTATCTCTACTAAAAATACAAAAATAGCCAGGCATCATGGCAGGTGCCTGTAATCTCAGCTACCCAGGAGGCTGAGGCAGGAAAACCGCTTGAGCCCAGGATTTGGATGTTGCCGTGAGTCGAGATTGTGCTATTGCACTCCAGCCTGCACAACAAGAGCAAGACTCCATTTCAAAAACAACAAAATAATAGGCCGGGTGCAATGGCCTCTAATCCCAACACTTTGGGAGCCCTAGGCAGGTGGATCACAAGGTCAGGAATTTGAGAACAGCCTGACCAACAAGGTGAAATGCAGTTTCTACTAAAAATATATAAAAATTAGCCTGGCATGGTGGTGTGCAACTAGAATCCCAGATACTCGGGAGACTGAGGCAGAAGAATCACTTGAACCCAGGAAGCAGAAGTTGCAGTGAGCCGGGATTGTGCCACTGCACTCCAGCCCAGGTGACAGAAGGTCAGGAGTTCAAGAACTGCCTAGCCAGCTTGATGGTGGGCACCTGTAGTTCCAGGTACTCTGGAGGCCACTGCAGGAGGATCACTTGAACCCGGGAAGTGGAGGTTGCAGTGAACCAGAATCACACCACTGCACTCCAGCCTGGGTGACAGAGCAAGACTGTCTCAAAAACAATTTTTTTTTCTTGGAGACAAGATCTCACTATGTTGCCCAGGCTGGTCTTTAACTCCTGATCTCAAGGGATCCTCCTCCCTTAGACTCCCAAAGTGCTGGAAGTGCAGGCATGAGCCCCCATGCCCAGCCAAGAGAAACATTTTTAAAATGAAATGTTACCCTATTAATCACCAAGGAGTTAGAATTATTTTCATATATAGCTGGAAAATATGGTGTTTCTTTAAAAACAATTAGTGTTTTCTTTTCTCTAGATAACTTTTTTATTTTATTTTATTTTATTTTATTTTATTTGAGACAGAGTCTTGCTCTGTCACCTGGGCTGGAGTACAGTGACATATAATCTCAACTCATTGCAACCTCTGCCTCCTAGGTTCAAGTGATTCTTCTGCCTCAGCCTCCCAAGTAGCTGGGACTACAGGCAAGCGCCACCATGCCGGGCTAATTTTTGCATTTTTAAAGAGACAGAGTTTCACCATATTGGCCAAGCTTGTCTTGAAATCCTGACCTCATGATCCACCCACCTCGACCTCCCAAAGTGCTGGGATTACAGGTGCAAACCATCACGCCCTGCCAACCAACGAGATTTTTATTGATCAGTGGAGAGATGTTCATGAGGCATCACCAGCCACATGTCAACAGAAGCTGGCAACTCCCTGGATGGTTCCAAAGTTGGTCTTAGAGGTAATGAGCCTACCTGCTTGTGAATATGATGCAAACCTCTTTGCGTTCCTCCAGAATCGTGTTCCCGTATAAACCATTTCCATTTTATTCCAGAGTCAGCTCTTCTGGGCAGTAGCTTCCTCATTAGTGTTCCTCTGACATCACCCAAGACATCATGGGTATGTCACATCTTAAGAATATTTAATGTCCTTCAGTCATAGGAGGAGTTTCAATTAATGCCCAAAAAATAGCAACCCAATAATTATCTCTGAAATGACACTTACACCATACTGTCCCACCTGGAAATTTTCTGGTCCAAAATGTAAGTGCTCACCATAAGGCAGCACTCATGAGCTTTTACCGTAAACTCTAGTCTGTGGAAATGCAATTTCAGATACAGGTGCCCCTGGATATCTGTGGGGAATTAGTTATAGGACCCTGCCCTAAAGGGATACTAAAATCTCAAGGAGCTGAAGTTTTTTGTTTTTTGGTTTTTTTGAGACGGAGTTTCACTGTTGTTACCCAGAGTGGAGTGCAATGGCACGATCTCGGCTCACCACAACCTCCGCCTCCCGGGTTCAAGCAATTCTCCTGCCTCAGCCTCCCGAGTAGCTGGGACTACAGGCGCGCACCACCATGCCCAGCTAATTTTTGTATTTTTAGTAGAGATGGGGTTTCACCTTGTTGACCAGGATGGTCTTGATCTCTTGACCTCGTGATCCACCTGCCTCGGTCTCCCAAAGTACTGGGATTATAGGCGTGAGCCATGGTGCCTGGCCTGAAATATTTCTTTTTTTAATGACATAGTATTTACATGTAACCCATGCACATCCTTGTCTATGTGTTTTTGTTTGATTGTTTTTTGAGAGGGAGTCTTGCTCTGTCGCCTAGGCTGGAGTGCAGGGGTATGATCTCGGCTAACTGCAGTCTCCGCCTCCCAGGTTCCAGTGATTCTACTGCTTCAGCCTCCCAAGTAGCTGGGACTACAGGTGCCTGCCACCATGCCTGGCTAATTTTGTATTTTTAGTAGCAACGGGGTTTCACCACGTTGGCCAGGCTGGTCTTGAACTCCTGGCTTCAAATGATCAGCCAGCCTAGGCATCCCAAAGTATTGGGATTGCAGGCATGAGCCACCGCATCTGGCCTAAGACTATTATTTATTTATTTATTTATTTATTTATCTATGAGACAGGGTCTTGCTCTGTCACCATGCTGGAGTATAGAGGCATAATCTTGACTCACTGCAACCTCCTGGGTTCAAGCAATTTCTCTGCTTCAGTCTCCTGAGTAGCTGGCACTATGGGTCCATGCCACCATGCCTGGCTAATTTTTACTTTTTACATTTGTTCTGGAAAATCTTACCTGACAAGAAAGCGAAGTGGCACTCAGGGGATCAGAGGAACACACTTTATTACACTGGCGGGCCCGGAGGGGTTCCCATCCAAAAGTCTGGACCCCAGCTAAGAAAAGTACACAATTTTTATAGGTAAAGGGGCAGGGGACGTAACTCAGGGCTTTAGACAATGCAGCAGGTTTTAGACAAAGAGGCAGTTTCTCTTAAGGTTTTCCGGTTAGTAAGCAATAAGCTGAGGTACAGAAGCAAAAAGAGGCACAAAGACAGGGACAGTTTCGAAAATAGGGAGGGTTGCTGACAACGTGCTGACAAAATCCTGGGCAAAATTTCCACTTCATTCCCCCCTTTTGATGCTCCCTTATGGATATTAGGGAGCATCACCTTCTATACCCTAGTGTCTGTACTTAGCAGCTTGTGCCCTCAGAGCACTGCTGTGTATTTGTTTTCCTAATTACGGTGACTTCAATGAAGCTTCAGAGCATGTTAATTAAGCAAGGGCCAAAGGCTAAAAGGTATAATACTGGCAACAAGGGGTCCCATCAGTGGGAGGAGCCATAGTGCCCAATTCCAGAGGTGGGACCACATGGTCCATGAGTCTGAGAGGTGCTGTCTAATTTCAGAGGCCCTTTCAGTTAGCCGTAGGGCTGTATTGTGTACCATTCCCAGCTGGTTGGTGTAGAAGCAACATTCCTCTTCATGAAAGGTGCATAATCCTCCTTCCTTGGCAGTAATGAGGTCCAGGCCTTACCGATTCTGAAGTGTGACTGCCACAAGAGAGTCTATTTGAGACTGGAGGGTAAGGATGGACCTTGCTATGTCCTCCAGACTGCCTGAGAGGTCTTTAGAGAGGGCATGGTAGTAAGACAAGGAGGTAGACAGCCCTGCTATTCCTGTCCCAGTTGCTACAGCTATTCCCAATCCCACAAGTAAGGTTTTAGTTGTATGGTCCATAGTGGTGGGACTTGAGCCTTTTGGAGACTGGAAGACTTTGTCCCCCTGGGGCAATGTCAGTTTTGGGGGACGGGAAGACCAGTGTACAGGTACCAGTCCAGACAGTGGGGAGACATAAGTAGGCTGAGGTTCCACAGATGAAAAATATGCTTGGCTATTCAGGCAAAACTGGTGGTGTATACTGAAGAGAGGCACTGGTTTGTTATTCTTTTTCCCTCACATTGAGGGTATTGGCCAGTGCAGCTCCAATAAAGGGGCGGAAAGGGCCACTTAGGGAGACTTGAGAGGCCCCCCTTAGTCCTATTCTCCCACTGGAGGAAGAATCTTTTGGTGTCAACCAGAATCCATTGGGATGAATGATGGAAGGTTGGCACAAGGAGACATTCGGTTGGAGTGGGAGGTGAGCTACAAGGAGTCCACGGGTGCATAGCAACACATGGGCTGTGTCTGCCATTGCAAAAGTGTGAATTTTTGTTGAGTAGTTTCTCAGGGCTTAGTAGGTAGGCCCCCTGTGCTGGGTTATGAGGAGAAGCCAACACGGCTCCTGAACGGGGCTTCCTGAACAACCTGGAAGCTTGCATAGTCACAAGGAATTTTAAGTTGTAAAGTGTAGTTACACTGGTGAGGCTGCAGGTGCCCTAAGGGTGTGTCTGATGGCAGGTTGCACTGGATACAAATGGGGGCCTGGAAGGTTAACTCTGTGCTAGTGTCTATGGGCCCATGCACAGGCTGGCCGTTTGATGGGCCTGTGAAATTATTTGTGTAGGACCATAGGAGGCTGAGTGCCCATCCTACTAAA